CTACAGTAAACGATCCACGAAGCTTGGCCAAGAGCCCCCGGTGCCAGACAGTATCGAAGGCCTTGGCAAGATCGAAAAAACGGATCCCGACTAGGTCTCCAGCATCCCGATGTCGACACACTAATTGCACCAGGCGCGTCAGCTGGAGGGTGGTAGAATCGCCTCTGCGAAATCCGGACTGAGCTGAACTCAAACGTGACGAGACATGACAGTACAATTGGTCGTAGAAAACGCGCTCACAGAGTTTGGAAGCACAGGACAGTAAAGATATCGGACGGTAGTTTGATGCTTCGTGGCGGGACCCTTTCTTGTAGATCGTTATAACATTAGCTGTTTTCTATGCAGAGGGAAAACGACCAGTGCGGAATGATAGGTTGAAAATCAGACATAAGAGGTATGCTATTGAGGGCGCAAGGGACTTTAATACCAGATTAGTGATGCCGTCTGGGCCTGGCGCCTTGTCAGACGGGAGCTTTCGAATGTAACGTCGGATGGCAGCAGTCGTAGTAAAGACAGATGTGAGGCGGTCAGCCTCACCCGACTCCTCGGCAATGGGGGGAATGGGTAGAGAAGGGTCACCAGGCACGGCCACTGAGGCGAACTGAGAGTTCAATGCAGTGGCTTTAGCTGAAGAGGTAGTAGCCTGCTGTGTAGAACTAATGGTGAGTGTCGGGATGTCACGAGATACTTTATGATGTTTTAATTTGCTCACGAACTGAAACAGTGATGGGCGGTTTTTGTCCTGCAGCGTAGCTTGTACGGACCGAATGTATCCCCGGTATTTCGATCGAGTCAGACTCTTCACCAAGTTCCGTTGAGATCGATATACATGCATGTTAAGCTGGGTTGGGTATTTCTTACACACACTGTAGAAATCGTGCTTTGCCTTAATGGCGGCACGGAGGGGGGCATCAACCCAAGGTGGCTGACCTAAACGTCGGCATGAGGGGGAGAGTGGACGCCGAGAGAAGTACCCGAGGTGCTTCTCCATGGCCCTGCTAAGAATAGAGTGGAAAGACGAAAGAGCATCATGCACGTGCGAGCTGCGGAGGTGACATTTCCAGTGGACATCAGCAAGTTCAGCATTCAGGTCATCCCATACGCAACGTGGCACCAACTTGAAATTATAACCTGGGGGTGTAGGGGTAGATGTTGGGAGGAAGTGATGTTGTAGGGTTGGTTTTTTGGACGTGACAGGGAGACGGACTCGACAGATGAGCTGCACGTGGTCAGAGCTACCCAGTGGAGCGGCTGAATCAATGGAGAGGAACTGCTGGGGTGAATTTGTGACGATGAGGTCCAAGCAAGATGACCGGCCACTTAGGCTCCAGTCTGTAGGGAAGTTGACCAGTTGCTCTAATCCGAAGCACCTGAAGGCGGTTTCAAGGCACTGACCCACCAGGGTTGTCCGATCACCAGCCAACCAGCTCGAGTTATGGGCATTGAAGTCACCGGTGAGGAGTAGTGTGGATACAGGTAGATCAAGCGACAGAAGGCAGTCTTCCAGACCATCAGAATATGCCTGGATATCCGCCAGGGTACCACCAGGTGGTCGGTAGGTGGCGCAGACTACGAGTGGACGTTGGGGTGAGTTGGCTGTGCGAAGCTCAAGCCAGATACATAGTCAAAAAGTCACTCAAGTCTTTCAATATTCTTTTTAGACTAAGGTCTACACTCACCAGTGATTCTTTATCTCACATCTATCAGACATACATACTACCTATATTCTCATATGCGAGCAATGCTCTCACACCGTTGTCACACGCTTCCCTTGACAGGCTAGAACGGCTCCAGCGGAAAGCCGCCAGAATATGTCTCCACCTTCCCCTTTACACACACTTAGAACACTCCCACCTTTTGCATCGCATCAAATGACCAACATTATTTTCATGCTTTAAACATATACTCTTCGCGCATTCTCTGCGCCACAATTATGCCCCACCACATATACTCTCGCTGCATACTGATAGCAATGTGCAACCTTCGTATAATTTACGTCGTTCTCGTACTTGACACTTCCCAACTCTGACTGACCGCTGTCTTCATTCTCCCCTGTACAAGGCCCTTCATTACTTTATTTGCTTGCCCACCCAGCTTCGCGAAATCCCTTCTCGTACTCCCTTCAAATCCGAGATATCCCTGCTGTTGCACAACTCTATATGCTCGTGTAGTGACCACCCCTGCCCGTACACTTAAGTACACAACTCTGTATGCTCGTGTGGCGACCACCCCTGCCCGTACACTTATGTAGTCATTAACCCCTAGGCCCTGCCCACCCAATTCTTCCTCACTCTTTCTCCTTTCTTACACTATTATCTCTTATTGGCCACTGGCTATCGTGAGAATAAAGATTTGAAACAAGACGCGCGGTCAAATTCAGGTCAAGAAACTTCGTTTTCAAGCGATCCATGCCTCCAGGTGGCAGGCGAAGAAGGCAAGCTAGCATTTTTCAAGTACACTGTAGCGACCTTTCAGCGGGATAGGGTAAGCAGTTTCGCAC